GGGTTGAAAGGAGGGTGTGGGAAAGATAGGAGGAGGAAGGAAAGAGAAGTGGGAAAGAACAAAGAAGAGGAGAGAAGAAAGAGGTAGAAAGGGAAGGATAGAGGAGGGAATGGAGAGTGAGGATGGAAGAGCGTGGGGGGCGGGGGGGGGGTAGAAGGGGCGAGGAGGAAAGATCGGTAGAACGGGAAAAGGAAGAGGAGAGGAGAGGAGGGAATGAAGGAGATAGAGAGATGGAAGAAGGAGGGATAAAAGGAAGAGGGAAGATTGGGAAAGAAGAGGAAGAAAAGAGGTTGGAAAAAAGTGAATCAGAGAGAGAATGAAGGAGGGAGAAAGAGCGGAAGAAGTAGGGAAAGGAGCAAAGGGAGGAATGCAGAAGAAAGTTAAAATAGACAGAAGCAGAGAGAGAAATAGTCAGAAGCAAAGAGAAAGACAAACAGAAGCAGAGAGAGATAGAGAGAAAATATAAAACAAAAAAACACAAATTATCATTATCACAGCGAAAAAAATCCGCTGAGTATACCTCATCATGAATAAAATCAACAAATGAATGGTCAGTGACTTACAGAATCCTAAAATCATACTTACTGAACATCGATACAAAATCTGTCTTCGCGAACTCACCTGAAAAAAGAAGAGAAAAACATTAATCAGAGAGTCAGTCCCAATAAGCGACACAGGATGTTTAAAGTTTACATCTGTCTATGTATGTTATATATATTATATATTATTCCATTTATATATATATATATATATATATATATATATATATATATATATATATATATATAGAGAGAGAGAGAGAGAGTATAGAGAGAGATAGAGAGAGATATGATTGATGAGGATAAGAGATAGAGAGAAGAAGAGAGAGAGAGAGAGAGAGAGAGAGAGAGAGGAGAGAGAGAGAGAGAGAGAGAGAGAGAGAGAGGAGAGGAGGAGAGCAGATAGATAGATAGATAGATAGAAAGAGAGAGAGAGAGGAAGATGGAGAAGGAGAGAGAGAGAGAGATGAGAGAGAGAGAGAGAGACGAGGAGAGAGAGAGAGAGACGAGAGAGAGAGAGAGAGAGAGAGAGAGAGAGAGAGAGAGAGCAGGCAGATAGAAAGATAGATAGATACATACATACATAGAGAGTGAGTGAGAGTGAGAGAGAGAGAGAGAGAGAGCAAGAGAGAGACATACACAGTACCCATTTAAAACATCAATAAAAATACCACTTTTCTCCGAAACAGGAGAGAAAATTGCTCTCAGATAGAACAACAAAAAGGAAAAAAGTCAATCTTCATTTACGATCCCGCTGGGGGGGGGAGTGGAAGAGAGGAAAGGATGGAGGAAAAAAATAGGATGAATCAGAAAAGACGGGAAAAGTCGAAAGGGAAGAGGAAGGGAAAGAATGAAAGGGCAAAAGACGAAAAAATGGGAAAGTGGAAAAAGAAAAAGATGAGACAGAAAAAGATAAGGGGAAAAATTAACAAAAATAAGAAGAAAAAAGAAAGGTACGATGACAGAAAAGGGTACAAGGGAAAGAAGAAGAAAAGGTAAGAATAGAGGAAAAAGTAGAAGGAAATGGGTAAGAAAAAGTAAGAGGAAAAGTTCCACAAAAAAGGCGGAGAGAGAAGGAGAGGGGAAGGTGGGGGGTGGGGTGGGGGGATCTAGCAAATCCTCTGTAATCATCCTTCGAAAACCCACCCAAATCAATGCAAAAATCCGGGGGTATTTCCCGTAATCCGGCAACCCCGAGCTGTTCTTTTAAGCGGCGATAAAGACGCGTTCGGATTACTGCCGGATTAATGGCCGATTTTTCTATTTTCCTTCTCTTCTCTCTCTCGCTCTCCCTCTCTCTCTCTCAAACACACATACACACGCACACACGCGCACATTCACACTCACTCTTACACCCTCTCTCTCTTCTCTCTCTCTCCTCTCTTCTCTCCTTCCCTCCTCTCTCTCCTCTTGATCTTCCCTCTCTCTCCTCCCATCCCCTCTCCCCTCTCCCCTCCCCTCTCTCTCCCTCCATCCCTCTCCCCTCTCCCTCCCTCTTTTTATCTCGTCCTCTAGAATCTATGACGTCATCAGTCCCATCCGCCTTGTCCGATTTCGTACGATCAGATTTCCAAAAAATACTTCCTTTAGTGAGGGAGAAACGGTTCTATCTTTGAAGAAGAGAGAGAAGAGGAGAAGAACGAATTGCAGAAGGATGAGAGAGAGAGAGAGAGAGAGGAGAGAGAGAGAGAGAGAGGAGAGAGAGAGAGAGAGAGAGAGAGAGAGAGAGAGAGAGAGAGAGAGAGAGAGAGAGAGAGGACGAAGCAGAAAGAGAAACAGACAAAGAACAACTAAAAAAGAACAAGAAGACGGGAAGAAAAATAAGAGAGGATGAAGAAATAATAAAAAGGAAGAGCCGGAGCGCGCTCGTCGCCGGCGCCAGGGAGCCAAGGCGATCCTTCCTCGGAGCAGATGTCTGTTGGCGCCAGACAGGGAGGAGCCACGTGTACGTACGGTCTTCGGATCTTGTGTGCGTGTGTGGGTGGGGGTATGTGTGTGGGGGAGGGTTAATGTGTGTGGGGTTGTGTGTGTGTGTGTGTGTGTGTGTGTGTGTGTGTGTGTGTGTGTGTGTGTGTGTGTGTGTGTGTGTGTGTGTGTGTGTGTGTGTGTGTGTGTGTGTGTGTGTGTGTTATCTTTTACGCTGTGTCAACTGTGTCCTTTCCTCTCCGAATATATCTAATTATCTTTATTGGCATCTTGTCTTGGCCGGTACAATAGGATTATCTTGATTAGAGCCAGATACGCACACACAAACACACACACAAACACGTACCCATATCCCCCCACACACGCACCACACACACACGCACACCACACACACACACACACACACAAACACACACACGCATATATACAAAACACGCACAAACACATGATGATCACACATTGTACAAACAATGAAACAAAAAACAAACAAACAAACGTACTTACAAGGTCATCCACCTCAAAGTTCGGACTCGACCCTCACCACCTCCCCCCCCCCCCCCTGTTTTAGGACCTCTGAACACGCACCTGCCGAGCGCACCTCTCCCCCTTCCCCCTGCCTTCTTTCTTCTATTTCTTTTCAATCTCTCTTCTCTCTTTCTCACTCTTTCTGTCTTTTCTGTTTTTCTCCTCTGTCTTATTTCTTCTCTCTCTCTCTCTCTCTCTCTCTCTCTCTCTTCTCTCTCTCTCTCTCTCTCTCTTCTCTCTTTCTCTCTCTTCTCTCTCTCTTCTCTCTTTCTCTCTCTCTTTCTCACTCTCTGTCTTTCTGTTTTTCTGTCCTCTCTATCTCTCTCTCTCTCTCTCTCTCTCTCTCTCTCCTCTCTCTCTCTCTTCTCTCTCTCTCTCTCTCTCTCTTCTCTCTCTCTCTTCTTCTCTCTCTCTTTCTCACTCTCTGTCTTTCTGTTTTTCTGTCCCTGTCTGTCTTATTCTCTCTCTCTCTCTCTCTCTCTCTCTTCTCTCTCTCTCTCTCTCTCTCTCTCTCTCTCTCTCTTCTCTCTCTCTCTCTCTCTCTCTCTCTCTCCTCTCTCTCTGTCTTTCTGTTTTTTGTCCCTGTCTGTCTCATTCTCTCTCTCTCTCTCTCTCTCTCTCTCTCTCTCTCTCTCTCTCTCTCTCTCTCTCTCTCTCTCTCTCTCGCTCTCTCGCAGTCACTTTTTCTCTCTGTCTTTCTGTTTTTTTTCTCTCTCACACATACACAGAAAAAACACACCCATCACTACCAATCTCCCACAAAGATGAACCCACTCTTTACATTTCTTCTTACTTTCATCATCATCATCATCATCATCATCATCACCGCCACCATCATCATCACCATCATCTACACTACAGAATAACCAACCAACCCCCCCTCACCATAAACACAATTATCTCTCAAGATCAATGGTAATAAGTGCCACCATCATTATCCAATAATTACCTAACTTCATCCAGTAATGATCAGGGACACCTCTCCTCCCCCCCCCCCCCCCCCCGTTCCGTAATTACGTTGTCACTAATTAATTACATTCGCACGTCACAAGTACTGCAAATAGAACAAAATCCAGAGACAGAGAGCTGGGTGCCAAGGGTGCCAAGGGTGCCAGGTGGTGCCACGACTCGTTACCAAGGGATATAAAAGTACAGGTTCTTTTTTTTTCTTTACGAAATATACTACCGATTATTTTTCAATGCTGTTATTTTTCTCATTCATTTATCTATTTATTATTATCGTCATTATCATTGTTGTTATTTTCATTATCTGTTTTTGTTGTTATTTTCATTATCATTGTTACTGCTGTTATTTTCATTATCATCATTATCCTCATAATTACTTTTATTATTATTTCTATCATCATTAATATCATCATTGTCACCATCGCCATCATTATCATTAACACTACCATCATCATTATCAACATTATTATCATCATCATCACTGACAGCATTATCATTATCATTCTTATCATCACCACGACTATCATCACCACCATCATCACCATTCATTTCATTATCATCACAACCTTTCACTCCAAGAGACGCAGCGAACCCGGCTCCCCAGCGCGCTACAGGTCATTAGCAAACTGCCCTAAGCAAGGTCATTAACGGGTCAGCTCGGAGAAACATCAGGTCATTAGAGTGCCAAGTGCTAGAGCAAACAGGGTGCCACGCGGCTCCAAGGTGCCATTAGTATCGCATAATGAAGATGATGAAAATAACGGTTGTGATAGCAGTAATGATGGTGATGATGGTGGTGGTGGTGATGGTGGAGGTAATGATAGTTGTGGTGGTGATGATGGTGGTGGTGGTGGTAATGCTGGTGATGGTGGAGGTAATGATGGTGGGGGTGATGATGAATAAGATCATAATGATAACGCTGATTATCATAACAAAACCGCTTTGACAACAACAAAACCAACACCTCATCCAACAACCAAACAAACGGACCGCAAGACCCACACACAAACACAAAAAACGTGACACGAGCAACGCACACTGAGTATGACACTGCCATACCAAAGCGTCGGAACAGAATCCTTACAAAAACATGTCCTGAACTTGCATAAGCTACCGGCACTGCTCTGGTGTCCACTCGTGCGTCAGTGAGTCAAAGAAAACAAAATAGAGAAAAAAACAAGTGAGAGAAGGAAGTGCGCGTTCAGAAGAGGAAGTTGAAGTGAGTTTGTGCGTGAGTTATTATGAGAGTGAATGCGAGGAGTAAATCGGTGAGTGAATGGATATACTTGAGGCTTAGAGAGTAAGTAAGAACATTTTGCAAGTGAGTAAATTAAGTGAAGGAATGAGAGTGAGTAAAAACCGACGTATTTATGAGAGGAAGAATGTGTGCAAAGTTGTGAGTGAATGAAAGAGTTTCAGGATTAGAGACTTGATTACTGAGGCGCCAGCAAATAAAAATGTAAATTAATTAGTAAAACAGTGGGTTAATGTTTGAGTATAGGAAAGAATTTGGGAGAGTAAATCAATCGACAAAATTGTAAGTGGAGTAAATCTAATCTCAATCCTTATCTAAATCCACATCGGTACCATTGCTGAGAGAGAGAGAGAGAGAGAGAGAGAGAGAGAGAGAGAGAGAGAGGAGAGAGAGAGAGAGAGGAGAGAGAGAGAGAGAGGAGAGAGAGAGAGAGAGAGAGAGAGAGAGAGGAGAGAGGCGGCGGAGAGGATAAAGAAAGAAAGAAAAAAAACGAAAAATAAATAACCTAAATAACAAATCAGCCAAACTATAAAAAAACCAATAAAAAAAAAAAAAAAAACACACAAAAAAGTGAAAAACCGTCCCCGTTTCCCGCCTTCTCGTCGCAGCGCCAGCCACGCTTTGCACACGGCACGCTATCGCCGCCTGGTCCAGTCCCCCATCCATTTGCACTCATAGAATATTCACGGGGATCGGAGGACATTCGGTGAAGATTCAGAGTCAACGGGTGATCCACAGGCCGTTCAAACGATACATTTCGCCACTTCCGTTCCACTGACCTCCAACAATGAAATATTTACATGCGCTCGGAGGAAGGGTCAAAGTTCACTGTGTTGGTACTATTAATTCTAAGTAATTGGGACACGTGAATGAAAGAGAGAGAGAGAGAGAGAGAGAGAGAGAGAGAGAGAGAGAGAGAGAGAGAGAGAGAGAGAGAGAGAGAGAGAGAGAGAGGAGAGAGAGAGATGGGAGGAGAGAGAGAGAGAGAGAAGAGAGAGAGAGAGAGAGAGAGAGAGAGAGAGAGAGAGAGAGAGAGAGAGAGAGAGAGAGAGAGAAGAGAGAAGAGAGAGAGAGAGAGAGGGAGAGGGAGAGAAGAGAAACACAAGAACTACAACAAAATATTCGCTCATCCCGACGGATCCTAGACCTTATCTGCAGCCGAAGCCGCTGGCCACGGAACAACCACTAAGAACCATAACAAGAAAAAAAGAAAAATAAATCTACACATCGAACCTGTCCCCGCGCTCAAAAAAATAAATGAATAAATAAACAAAAATTAAATAATTAACTAAAAAAAAAAGAAAAAAAGAAAAAGAAAAATCACAAGGACCGAGATCCCTAAGAGCAGGTCATCAGAGGAATCTTCCCAGCCACCTGGATCCTTATTACCTTGTCTCCTTCCCCCCTTTTTTCTTCTTTTCGTTTTTCTTTTTCTTTTTTAACCGCCTTGCGCCCCAGGGGATTATTCACATCTATCCGGATCTTCTCCCCGGCGTGTTTGCGCACCGCCGGGGTGTGCCGGGAGAGCCACAGAGCCAAGTCGGAAGAAGAGAACCAAGGGAGCCAAGTCGGGAGAGCCAGGGAGCCAAGTCGGGAGAGCCAGAGAACCAAGTCGGAGGAAGAGAACCAAGGGAGCCAAGTCGGGAGAGTCAGGGAGCCAAGTCCGGGAAGAGCCACAGAAGACCAAGTCGGGAGAGCCAGAGAGAATCAAATAGAGGGGAGCCAAGTCGGGAGAGCCAGAGAACCAAGTCGGGAGAGCCAGAGAACCAAGTCGGGAGAGCCAGAGAACCAAGTCGGGAGAAGAGAACCAAGGGAGCCAAAGGGGAGAAGAACCAAGTCGGGAAGTCAGAGCCAGGGAGCAAGTCGGAGAGAGAGACCAAGTCGGGAGAGGGAGCCCAAGTCGGGGAGAGCCAGGGAGCCAAGTCGGGAGAGCTCGGGAGAGCCAGGGAGCCAAGTCGGGAGAGCCAGAGGAAACCAAGTCGGAAGAATGAGAACCAAGGGAAGCCCAAGGTCGGGAGAGCCAAGAGAACCAAGTCGGGAGAGCCAGAGAACCAAGTCGGGAGAGCCAGAGCCAGGGAGCCAAGTCGGGAGAAGCCAGGGAGCCAAGTCCAAGTCGGGAGAGCCAAGGGAGCCCGCAAGTCGGGAGAGCCAGGGAGCCAAGTCGGGAGAGCCAGAGAACCAAGTCGGGAGAGCCAGGGAGCCAAGTCGGGAGAGCCAGGAGTCGGGAGACCAGGGAGCCAAGTCGGAGCCAGAGAACCAAGTCGGAGAACCAAGGGAGGCCAAGTCGGGAGAGCCAGAGAACCAGTCGGGAAAGAAGAGCCAGGGGCCAAGCGGAGAGAGCCAGAGTCGGAGAGCCAGCCAAGTCGGAGAGCCAGAGAACAAAGAGCCAGGGACCAAGTCGGGAGAGCCAGAGAACCAAGTCGGGAAGAAGAGAACCAAGTCGGAGAGCCAAGTCGGGAGAGCCAGAGAACCAAGTCGGAAGAAGAGAACCAAGGGAGCCAAGTCGGGAGAGCCAGAGAACCAAGTCGGGAGAGCCAGGGAGCCAAGTCGGGAGAGCCAGAGAACCAAGTCGGAAGAAGAGAACCAAGGGAGCCAAGTCGGGAGAGCCAGAGACCAAGTCGGGAGAGGCCAGGGGAGCCAAGTCGGGAGAGCCAGGGTCGGGAGAGCCAGGGAGCCAAGTCGGGAGAGCCAGAGAACCAGTCGGGAGAGAGCCAGGGAGCCAAGTCGGGAGAGCCAGTCGGAGAGCCAGAGGAGCCAAGTCGTCGGGAAAGAGCCAGAGAACCAAGTCGGGAGAGCCAGGGAGCCAAAGTCGGGAGAGCCAGAGAAACAAGTCCGGAAGAAGAGACCAAGGGAGCCAAGTCGGGGAGAGCCAGAGAACCAAAGGTCGGAAAAAAGAAGAGAACCAAGGGAGCCAAGTCGGGAGAGCCAGAGAACCAAGTCGGGAGAGCCCAGGGAAGCCAAGTCGGGAGAGCCAGGGAGCCAAGTCGGGAGAGCCAGAGAACCAAAGTCGGCCAAGTCGGAAGAGCCAAGGGAGAAGAAGCCAAGTCGGAAGAAGAGAACCAAGGGAGCCAGTCGGGAGAGCCAGAGAACCAAGTCGGGAGAGGCCGTCGGGAGAGCCAGAGTTCGAGGAAGCCAAGAAGAGCCAAGTCGTCGGAGAGCCAGGGAAGCCAAGTCGGGAGAGCCAAGGGAGCGCAAGTCCGGGAGAGCCAGAGAACCAAGTCGGAAGAAGAGAACCCAAGGTCGAGCCAAGTCGGGAGAAGCCAGAGAACCAGAGAACCAAGTTCGGGAGAGCCAGGGAGCCAAGTCGGAGAGAGCCAGAAAGAACCAAGTCGGGAAGAGCCAAGCCAAGTCGGAGAGCCAGGGAGCCAAGTCGGAGAGCCAGAGCCAGAGAACGCAAGCAAGACAGAACCAAGAAGGAGAGAACCAAGGGAGCCGAAGTCGGAAGAAGAGAACCAAGGGAGCCAAGTCGGGAGAGCGCCAGGGAACCTAGTCGGGAAGAGCAAAGGGAGCCAATCGGGGAGAGCCCAGAAGCCAAGTCGGAGGAAGAGAACCAAGGAGGCCAAAGTCGGGAGAGTCAGGAGCCAAGTCGGAAAAGAGCCAACAGGGAACCAAGTCGGGAGAGCCAGAGAACCAAAATAGGGAAGAACCAGGGAGCCAAGTCGAGAGAGCCAAGTCGGGAGAGCCAGAGAACCAAGTCGGGAGAGCCAGAAGAACCAAGTCCCAGAGGAGCCAAGGGAGCACCAAGTCGGGAGAGCCAGAGGTCGGAAGAAGACCCAAGTCGGGAGGAGAGCCAGCCAAGTCGGGACAGCCAGGGAGCCAAGTCAGGGAGAAGCCAGAGAACCAAGTCGGAAGAAGAGAACCAAAGGGAGCCAAGTCGGGAGAAGCCAGAGAACCAAAGTCGGAAGAAGAGAACCAAAGGGAGCCGGGAAGTCGGGAGAGCGCAGAAGAACCAAGAAACCAGAGTCGGGAGAGCCCAAGTCGGGAGAGCCAAGTCGGGAGAACCCAGCCAAGTCCGGGAGAGCAGAGAACCAAGTCGGGAGAGCCAGAGAACCAAGTCGGGAAGAGCCAGAGAGCCAGAGAAACCGCAGAGAACCAAGTCGGGAGAAGAACCAAGTCGGGGAGAGCCACAGAGCACCAAGTCGGGAGAGCCAGAGAACGCGTCGGAGAGCCAGAGAACCAAGTCGGAGAGCCAGAAGAACGGAGAGCCAGAACCGTAGGGAGAGCCACAGTCGGGAGAGCCAGAGAACCAGAGTCGGGAGAGCCAGAGAACCAAGTCGGAGAGCCAGACCCAAGTCGGGAGAGCCAGAGAACCAAGTCGGGAGAGCCAGAGAACCAAGTCGGGAAGAGCCAAAGGGAGCCAAAGTTCGGGAGAAGCCCCAGAGAACCAAGTCGGGGGAGCCAGAGAACCAAGTCGGGAGAGCCATTACCACCCATTCGGGCCGCTTGGAAAACGCTATGAATGACAATGGGCGCCGTCAAAGGGACCTAGTTTCCTGCTTTCTTTCTGCTCTCTATTTCTCGATTTAATTGGCTTTCTCTGTTTATGTTTAGTCATTTGTCTGCCTGCCTCTCTGTTTCGTCTGCTTGTTTGTTTATCTCTCAGTCTTTTCTTTCTCTCTTCTCTCTCTCTCTCTATATATATATCTATCAATCCATCTCCCTCTTCCTCTCTCTCTCTCTCTCTCTCTCTCTCCTCTCTCTCTCCTTATCTCTCTCTCTCTCTCTCTCGTCTCTCGGTCTCTCTCCTCTCTCTCCTCTATCTTATCCCTATCTATCCAATCTCCCTCGTTCCTCTTCTCTCTCTCTCTTTCTCACTTTCTTCCCTCTCTGTCATTTCTTCCCTCTCTTCATTTCTTCCCTCTCTCTCTCTTATTTCTTTTTCTTTTTTCCTCTCTCCCCTCCCTCATTTCTATCCTCTCTCTCTCTCAATTTCTTCCTCTCTGCTCTCATCTTCTTCCCCTCTCTCTATTCCTGTCTCTCATTTCTTCCTCTCTCTCTCTCTCCTCTCATTTCTTTCCCTCTCTCTCCTTCCTCCTCTCTTCACACAACATTCCACCATAGACTCCTCACACCACTCTCCAAGAAAATCCTGAATACACACAAAAGAAAAAAAGAAAGAAAGAGAAGAGAAAGAGCAGAGAAGAAATCTAAATACAACTAAACTAAAACAGAGAGAGACAGAGAGAAAGAACAAAAAAGAGAAGAAAAAATGATCACAGTTTTAACGACTCCTATTAACTGCGCTGAACCAACGAGCAGGAGATTTACCTCGCTCCGTGTAAAAATTCACACGCACCCGGCTCCCTTGAGCTGATCCGATTGCACGGCGCTAATTAAAAAGAAGAAAGGGGACAGCGAACGAGGAAAAACTGGCTCTGTCTTCTCTTTGCTCAGTTTACATAATTCATACGATTGCCTTCGCCTCCTCGCGCGCATACGCATCCGTAAAAAGACCTACATGAATACACAGACACATTCACGCGCACAAACAAAGACGTACAACTACAGAGATAAACAATCATACACATCAGAAAGATAGACAGATAAATAAATAGAGAGATGTATAGAGGGATAGATGGATAGACATATAGACAGATATGCATGACTAGATTAAGCAATGCACATATTCACACCTTGCAGGATCCTGTATAAGGTTGACAAGTGAATTCAAAAGCATAGGATTCTCCCTTTGAGGAAGAGAAGGGCAGGGGAGAGAGGGGAGAGGAAAGAGGGAAGAGGGAGGCAAGAAAAATATATGGAGAGAAAGCAAGACAGAGAAAGGAGACAAGGGGGAAAAGATAGATAGATAGAAAATGAAGGAAAAAAAGAAAAAAAAAGGTGGAAAAGAATGAAAAAAGAAAAAAAAATAAATATACATAAATTCAAGAGCACCTGGAAGCTTCCCTAACCGCCATTATCGAGTATGGTTGTTAGGCCTTTGTACAAGAAAATATATTATCATTTCCTACATGTATTTTTTTTTTTTTTTTTTTTTTTTTAACGAAAATAACAATTGCAATCACCTGCAAAGGTGATATTTGCAATAATAATAATAGTAAAAAAAATCATATTCATCTCGAACATGAAATCCCAGTGTTACCCTAAATACAAATAACCATTATATATATATATATATATATATATATATATATATATATATATTATATATATATAGATAGATAATTATAGTATATTAATATATATTTTATATAAAATAATAAAAAAAATAATTAATATATAATAATAGATTAATCCACATTTCTAAAATAAAAAATCCTCCTCTTTTAACCTCCTTTAATCTCGTTAATCCGAATCTAAAATCCCTGACTGCCTCCTCTTCCTCCACGCTCACAGGCGCGCTCCATGCGACGACGCCCACGCCGCAAAAAGAGCACACCGCCACACGCTCTTACTTTCATGTTTTAAACTTTCATGAATGCCCTGCGTCGTTTTCTTCCTTTCTCTCTTCCTGTCACCCTCTCTTTCTCCTCTCTCCGTCTCTCTCTACTATTCACTCACTCTCTCTCTCTGTCTGTCTGTCTTCTGTCTCTCTTCGTCTTTCTTCTCTCTCTCTCCCCCTCCTCTCTCTCTCTGTCTTTTTTTTTCTCTCTCTGTTTCTCTCTCTCCCTCTCTCTGTCTCTTCTCTCCTCTCTCTTTCTCCTTCTCTTCTCTCTCTCTCTTCTCTCTCTCTCTCTCTCTCTCTCTTTCTCTCTAGTTTTCCTCTCTCTTCTGCAACGTTCTTCTAATTCTTATTTTAATATATTAATTCTCCTTTTCCATTTCTATTTCTGGAATGTTCTTTCTTTATTTCTCTCGTTTCGTTATTCATCAACGTCATTGTTATCGCTTTAAGTCCATCTCCCTCTTGATGTATTTCCATCCGCCAACGCAGTGACGTCATAGTCTATTGCCATGACGTCATCCTTCATCAGCTAACCGGCCGAACGGAACTGCGTGGGAGTCTCTGTCCCCCCCCCACCCTTTCTCTTCCTCCTCTCTTCTCACTTCATCTTATCTCTGTCCTTTCTTACTTCCTTCCTTCTCTCCTCCATTTATTTCTCTCTCCCGTTCTCTTTTTCTCCCTCTTCCCCATTTCTCCCCATCTCGCATCCACACTACCTTCCCCTATCCAGTTTATCCTCATCTTCTCTCCTTACTCACCCTCCTCCCCTATCGCCCATCTTCCCTCTCCCCCTCTCCCCATTCCTCTATCCTCTCTTCCTCTCCCCTCTACCAATTCCCTTTCTCTCCCCCCATCCCTGCCAAAACCCCTTTCCCATTCCCTCTCCGCAATACCCTCTTCCTCCCCTCCCCCTCCCCACCTTCTCCAACCCCTCTCCTTCCCCTCCCCATCTCCCCACCCCCCTCCCTCCTCCATCTTCCTTAACCCTCTCCCATCCCCCCCTCTCTTCCCCCCTCATCCCCCACGTCCCCTCCCCCTCCATCTCCTAAACCCTCTCCCATCTCCCTGACCCTCATTCCCTCCCCTCCATCTCCTAAAGCCCTCCCCCATCTCCCTGACCGCCTCTTCCTCCCCCTCCATCTCCTAAACCCTCTCCCCATCTCCCCAATCTCCTGAACCGCCCTCTCTCCCCGACCTAAAGCCAGCGACTGACCGACGACGACGACGACCGGGGGGGGGGGGGGTGACGTCATCGGCGGTGTCTTCTTTCCCCTCTGACCAATTTGTCGCAGGCACGCTGTCCCTTCTCTTCGGGGGGGGGGGGGTTAAGGGAAAGGAGGAGAGGTGGGAGGAGGGGAAAGAGGGATGGAGGAGAGGAAGGGAAAGGGGAAGAAGAAGGGGGATGGGGAAGACGAAGGGAGGGGGAGGAGGAGAAAGGGGAGGAAGAAGGGAATGGAGAAGAGGAAGAGAAAGGGGGAGACGGGAAGGAAGAGGGATAAATGAAGGGAGGGAAAAGAGGTTCGGTGAGATGAACGGGAGGATAAGGGAGGGAGCAATGGAGAAGAGTGGGGAAGAGGGAGCGGGATGGGGATAGGAGAGAGAGAGAGAGAGAGAGAGAGAGAGGGAGGGAGGGAGGGAGGGAGGGAGGGGAGGGAGGGAGAGGAGAGGAGAGAGAGAGAGAGAGGAGAGAGAGAGGAGAGAGAGAGAGAGAGAGAGAGAAGAGAGAGAGAGAAGAGAGAGAGAAAGAGAGAGAGAGAGAGAGAGAGAGAGAGAGAGAGAGAGAGAGAGAGAGAGAGAGAGAGAGAGAGAGAGAGAGAGAGAGAGAGAGAGAAGAGAGAGAGAGAGAGAGAAAGAGAGAGGAGAGAAGATAGCAGAGTTTTAGAGAGACAAAAGCGAAGAAAAGTGAAGGGTGAGAGTGAAAGAGCGACAGAGGAAAATGGAAAACGAGAGGGAAACAGAACAAGGACAGAAGAAAGGACACGGACACGGGAATGAGGGAAGAGAACAGGAAGAGCAACCAGACCAACAGACAGACAGACAAAAAGACAAACACAGACACAGCAGAACAAACTGAAGCAAATGAGGAGAGATTCAGGACGAAGAGACGGAAGGGCGGGAGAGGGGAGAGAACTGGAAGATGAGGGGAAAGAGAATCGATAATGTCAGTAAGTTCGGGGAGAAAGGAAGAGACGGAAAATGGGAAAAGGGAATGATAATGAGGAGAGGACAGATGAGGGGAGATGAACGTTGGGAGAGAGAGGGGAAGGAGGATGGGGGAAGGGGGGAGGGGAAGGGAGGGGAGGCAAGGGAGGAAGGGAGGTTTAGAGAGAAGAGAGAGAAGAGAGAGAGAGAGAGAGAGAGAGAGAGAGAGAGAGAGAGAGAGAGAGAGAGAGAGAGAGAGAGAGAGGAGGAGAGAGAGAAGAGAGAGAAGAGAGAGAGAGAGAGAGAGAGAGAGAGAGAGAGAGAGAGAGAGAGAGAGAGAGAGAGAGAGAGAGAGAGAGAGAGAGAGAGAGAGAGAGAGAGAGAGAGAGGAGAGGGAGGGAGGGAGGAAAGGCGAGAGGGAGGGAGGGAGAGGGAGGGAGGGAGGGAGGGAGGGAGAGAGAGAGAGAGAGAGAGAAGAGAGAGAGAGAGAGAGAGAGAGAGAGAGAGAGAGAGAGAGAGAGAGAAGAGAGAGAGAGAGAGAGAGAGGAGAAGAGAGAAGAGAGGAGAGAGAGAGAGGAGAGAGAGAGAGAGAGAGAGAGAGAGAGAGAGAGGAGAGAAAAGAGAAAAAGAGAAAGAAAGAAAGTAAACAGAACAGAGAAATTCTACAGCGGATGAGAGGGGAGAGAGAACGGGAAAAGGAAAGACAGGAGAGAGACTGGAAGAAGAGACAAAAAAGTCGTGGAGAGCCGAGCAATCCTGCACTCAGAATCATATTTACAGCTGGTGATCCTACACACTAATCACCCAATCAGCCTACCCAATTATCCGCCTTTATGTATCATTTTATTTATCTATTCATTTTATCTATTTATCTGTGCGAGAGAATATAGACCATTTGACCTCTCCTAAACTTA